CCCCCCCCCCCCCCCCCCCCCCCCCCCCCCCCACCCCTTCTCCCTTCCCTCCTCGCCCCTGGCATTTCAGCTGCGAATGCCTGAAGGAAAAAAAGCGACGAAAAGCCTTTCATGTTGCGTCTTTTTTTTTATCTTAAGCCTTATCGAGCCGGACGAGGCGCTTTTGCGTCGGGGAGAAGTAACTATAAATAAAAAAAAATGGGTCGACCGCAGCGCTAACTACCGGAGCGAGCGGGAACCGAGGCGGCGGATGTCGCATCTGCATAGACAAGCGGACACTTTCGCGGCATCCTGCGGGGGGAAGAAAGGGATTGCGACACTTTGCTCTCCTTTCCCTTGGAGATTTCTCGCTTTAAACGGGGCTCGTTCCGAAGATTAGACCTTTTTAGGGCTGGGTTTTCTCTGAGGCTTCCGAGGTTCTCTGGGCGACGGCGCTGAAAGCGGGGGGGGATTTCGACTCGAGTTTGACTTGTCGCCGGCATTTGTGGCGGGAAGCGGGGAACGGGAATTAGTGATTTTCTTCGTGGCATTTCGGCTCTCCATCCGCTTCTTGGAATATTTTTTTCTACGTCCGCTTGAACCGATCTGAACGATGAGTCTTGCAGTAAATAAGGCGCTGGTTTTAGTTCAGGAATTAATTTGAAAAAAATGTGAAAGTCACGAGTGCGAAGTGAAGAAAGCGGACACGACAGGGAAAAGATGCAAAGGGGGAAAAATGACGCAAGATGACCCGGGCCGATCGCGATATGCCGTTCTTCCAGGAATCTCCTTCCAGGAATCTTATCGAAGGCCTTCCGCTTTCCCTTTCGACACGCATCGCTTCGAGCGGAATTTTAGACAGAAATAAATTTAAATGTTGGGTGTTTCGAGTGCCACAAGGATGAGCCCGGATCGACGGGGATTAAAAGCGTTTAAATAGTGAGGAGGATTCACGAGAGGGCGTCCAGATCGGGACGTCTCGCGTGCGAGGAGAAACTGACCGGTCGGCGAGGGAGTCGCCTCCGCATGCAGCGTTTGAGTCGGGTGGGGAGTCGCCTCCACCCAAACGGTCGGGGAGGAGGTCGCTTCCACCTGCACGGTCGGGGAGGGAGTCGCTCGGACGGACACGGCACAGAGGAGGGAGAGGAGCCGGAGGAGTTTGAAGGCACGGCGAGGCATCCTTCCTGCACCGAGGGTGAAAGGCCCAGCACCCACGAATAAACAGCCAGCCGCTTCTAACCCGCTTTTTATGTCGCGGGAAGGAGAGGGGGGAGAGGGAGGGGGAGGGGGGAGGGGGCGGATCTTGAGATGTCGGGTGAGATTACATTTTTGATCTCTTGCAAAGATTTCCGAGCTTTATGAGGTTGATCAGCTATGGGGGGAAGATGGAGGGGGGGAGGGGGGGGGCGGGGGAATTCCCCGGAGAGTTCCATTGAAATTTCTACAATTTAAACTTAGCAGCAGGGAATGGCAAATTGTGAGCGATCGATTTCGAGAAATATGCGCGTTGAAAGGCAAGACTGGAATTCCTTATTTCTGCACGGATTCCTCGGGGCAATCGGCAATCGATTCGACTCGAAAGTACTTTTCAAGTACTGACCTCCTTTGACTCCTTGGCAATATTTCACGAGAAATATTGGGGGAAAAAAAATTTCCCCCAGACGCGTCGCAGGTAGTTTCCAGGCAACTGCCCCAGGCAATTTCCAGGCAACTGCCCCAGGCTGTTTCCTTCGACCTGGCACGCCGGACTCGACAAGATAAACCAGTTTTTACCGTTCCCGTTCGGTTTGGATGAGAAGTAGGGTGGATTTTTGAACAGAGCATTATCCGATAATGCAGCTTAAGGGGGGGGGGGCAGAGAGGGGGCAGAGATGGGGGGGGGAAGGAAATGAGAAAGTAGAAGCCGAATGGCTCTGACGGGAACCTTGAATTATCTTGGATCCGCTTAAGAGAATGGAATGAAATCCCTCGCATCCCTGCTAATTGTGAGGAATTCCGGAGCTCGAAAGGCCACCGCAAAAATTCCTCGTGCGTCATTTCCTTTTAAAGTAAGGAATTAGCGTAGGCGTTCGCCTCGCCGACTCGGAGCGATCTCGTCGCATGCAAATGGGAAACGTGCCGATGGGGAATTTTATTAATTTTTAATTTGAAGGTCGTGGTTCCTCCCTTCGAACGATCGCGAAACCGACGGCCTCCGCGGAACGAGATCTCAAACTTCATTCTAAGAGTTTCATTTATGCTCAGAACCGATATCGGTAAGGTTTAAGAACAACCCCCACCTTCCCCTCCTCCTTCCCACCTTCCCCCTCCTCCTTCCCACCTTCCCCCTTCTCCTTCCCACCTTCCAACCACCCTCCCCTTTGAACACTGATGTCTGTTAGCAACTCTGTTTCAGGGAGGCGTTGGGGCGGCCAAGATCGGCGTGTTCACCACCTCTTCCGCCGATCCGGAAGATTCCGCCATTTACTATCAGGTGGGTGAGGCATTAACGGTAAAAGTGAGCGGGGCTTCCGCGAGTCATGTCGTCATCTTCGTAAAAAAAAAAATCCTGACTCCATCGTCACGGGAAGTCGAGGAGCTTTAAAGGTCGAATTTCAGGAGATGTTCGAATCGTACGGGGTTCTGTCGGTCGCGTGGATCCCCGTCACGGAGACGTCGAACAACGCGGACGACGACGTCGTCGTGGAACTGGTCCGGCGACAGACGGGATTCTTCTTCGGGGGCGGGGACCAGCTCAGGATCATCACGGCTCTCGTCCACGAGGACGGATCCGGTTCGTCCCACTTTTCCATCGGGTTGGGGGCGCCGAGCCGAGAAAGCGAATCGGAGACGGTAGAGACAGAATGGGCATGCGTGCTGCGATCGGAAGCCATACCGGTTGGTATCGTGGCGGGTCTTCGCCGTTCATTCCTATGGGATTTTCCCGATTTTCTCCTAAACGCTTGCACGAGGGAAAACGGTCCCGGCACGGCAGCACGGTCGGTCCTCGGAGGAACTGGTAGTCCCCAACGAGTCGTTCCAAAGCTTCTTTCTATCGCGCGTACGGATCGAAAACTTCAGTTTGAGCTCGCGCGGCAGTAAAGGGCGGTCGGGTAGCGGTCTCGGCAGGATGCCGGCGATTCGCGCGCGAAGCGATTCGTAGAGTTTAAAGCGGGCCTGCGGTGTGCATCGGCTGGGTAACGGAGCGGGCACCGCGGGATCGTCGGAGCAGCTAGGATGCAGATGCTACTGGATGCTGGAGCGTGTCTTGCATTGCCGTGACCCGCCATCACCTCTACCGTGCACCTGGGGGTCGCTCTTCGTCTCCTCTAGCCTACTGTTTCCAGATCGAATTTGTACCCCCCTATAGGAGCGCTTTCACGGATTGCAGGTTGCGACATCTTACACGTGAGTGGTTACGTCTATCACCTGATGAAGTGGAATCTTGGGAAATGTGTTTTCTCCATTCTCCACTATGGGTGGGTGGTACGAATTCCATCCGGAAACAATGTATGTTAGCCTGTAAGTTACGAAACGGTGTATGTCGTGTTCACTCGAAGCTCGATCGACTTTATGCTTTAAACATGCTGTAAAATAGATCGACTGCGACCGTGCAAGGGCGGCGTAACGTTATGGCCTTCGCAGGCCGAGCGATCTCGGCATAAGCAGGTCTGGAACTCGAGGTCCACTCGAGACATCGGGGACCCACGAAAGAAAAAAGTTCCGACCGGACACCATCGGACCGATGAGACCCTCCCAAAAATTAATGGGCCTCTAGCACCACGTTTGCCTTCACGATGACGGCAAGAAAACCGGAAAGGGAAAGCGGAAAAATCGTGAACGGAGACGAGCCGCCGCGACACCGACAAAAAAGGCTTCTAAATGCAGTGAACCCATTCGATGCCGCCTCCGGTTCTTTTTCGTCGGTCGGGGGACGATGACGTCACCGAGGGCGTCCGCTGACGAGTGCGGCCTCGTCGTGGCAGATACGAAGGTGTTGGAGGCGCTGAGGGAGATGGCGGCGGAGGGGGTGGTGATCGGGGGAACGAGTGCGGGGACGACGTGTCAGAGCGAGGGGCCGATGGTGCAAGATGGCATCTCTTACAATGCGCTTGCGTCAGTCTTTATTCTTTTTTCGGGTATGGTACGATTTTTTTTTTTTTCGTGGGACTGAGATGAGGTGGGGAGGAGGTTTTGAGTTTTTTTTGGATGGATGGTTCAAAAAAAGGTTCGCTGACGGCGAAGACGATTGCTTTTAGGCGACGACGCCGGTAAAACCGAATTTTTTTGCCGTGGAAATTCTCGGAGACTTTGTCATGTTCCGCGAAAAAATCGATGCTGACGTAGCTTCGAGATCGAGGAAGACTTCGTGTTGAAAATCTTCGAAGGGTAAAGCCATCGCGAACGACAGATTGAAAATTAAGAGTCGAGAAGAAAATTGAAAAAAAAAGGCAGGGGAGCTCGGATTCGAAGCGGCCGGTCGGACGGTCGCCAGTTCTCCTTCTCGGACGAGATCCGACCGGGAGATCTCGTTTCGCTTGGTACTACGTCGAAACGAGGAAAATGGAAACCTTGAAAATAGGATACGTTTCGAGTACCGCGTCTGTCCGCTCCTTTTGTCATCGCGTCACGACGACATTATTCTCAAGAGCCATCTCGAATTCTAATTACGCCCGATTGTCTCGACCCCCCCCCCCCCCCATTGCCCCCTTTCAGCTACGGCTCCTACACCGGGGAATTCGACGGATCGGACGACCTGTGGGTCCGGCCCTCGGGGGGCCTGGTCCTCGCGCCTCGCCTCACCCTCGACACCCACTTCGCCGAGCGGCAGCGGGAGATGCGGCTCGTGAGGATGATGCTCGACTTTGACGACTTCGACCGGTGGGGCGTCGGGGTGGACGAGAACACGGCGCTGGTCGTTCAGGGCGACGTCGGCGAGGTCCGTCTTTTTTTTCCGGATTTCTGAGTTGCGCTTTAAGATTTATTATAATTTATGATTTCTCGTCGTTAGTCCCGTAATAAATTCCGACGACTATATATATTTATATATTGATATTGATATTAATATTAATATTAATATTAATATTAAATTATTTAATAATAATATTTTATTATTAACCGATCGGTCGAATTTCGCGGGTCAACTGACAAAAAAGGCTAACTGAAGGTGGTAGGAGAAAACGGGGTCTACTTCCTGGACCTGAGCTCGGTGGTGTTCAGCTCCGACCCGGCGGCCGACATCTCCGGGCTGCGACTCACGTACCTCACGCACGGAGACAAGTTCCATTTCGGAAGCGGCAAGTTTCTTTCCCGAAATCCTTTCGTTCGGCAGGAGAAATTCGACCGAGAATACTTTTCGATGAGCAGCGGGTGGCTCCGGAGTGGTGGAAATCGCGAGCTGGAAGGATAATCTGGCAGGAAACGAATTCTACGACGATTCTTATTCCAGCGACGACATTTTCGGCGGGAAGCCCAACACGCCGGCAGGAGAATTTCGATACACCGCCACGACCCTCTTCGACTCCAGGTGAGTTTGGACGCGACGGGATGCCTCGCGAGGGTTCCTGTATCTGATTTGAAATTTTGGCTTCAGACAATCGGATTCGAGCAGCTTGTCGAGCGAGAGAAACCCCGAGTTCCGCGTGGACATGGTGAAAGATGCGAGCAGCGTCGGGTACGGCGGTTACATGGGAGACCGATTCCTCATCTCCTTCGTCGACCTTCTGGTGGATGTTTATGTCAACTCTTTGGAATAAACTGGAATCGAGAAGAGATCATGCTGGAGACATGGTCTTTGGTGGCCTTCATTACCGTGATTTCATGCGTTCCGTATGTGAAGAGGGAACTGCAACGCATCGAGCATTTTCTCTTCCTGAAGTTCAGGGCTTTCACTTTGAAATGGTCGAAAAAGCATTATAGTCGACTCGGCTCGATCCAAGGTTCACTGCATTCACTGCCACGGGCTGAAAGTCTGAAGCGTGCATGTAGCACATAATTTTTTTTTTACCATATATTTTCCCGCTCGTCAGTCTTTTCTTTTTATCAGCTCAAGAAAGATGAGGACCGATGAGGTAATATCTATCCTTTTAACATCGAGGAGGGGGTCGAGGATCGGGGGGGGGGGTGTCCTTTATTTTTAAACCGGGTCCACCACTACTGGAAGTCAGGTGACAGTGCAGGCCTCTACAGAAAATATGGCGACTTGCAGTTCCTGTTTACACGTGGGCTTCGTGCGGCTCATGAGCGGTGATGGAACAAGACTCGTAGGCCTTCGGATTAAACCTAGGCGTTGGCTAACTTAGGCCATGATCGAAACTTAACAAAATGTATCCTTCATTTCCTTAAAGTAGGTTGGACTTCGTCGCAAAGTTTCTTAACCAAATGCTTAGTCTACGATACATGTTAGATACGGTGTCTGGTAGGGCTGACGCAATTTCTCAAAGGTTATGGCCATGTGTTTGTCTGCCGAGGCTTGCTTTGGCAGGCAAGTTTGCCCAGCGGCATAAAGATTGTGTTTATTTGAATTGACTTGATGTATGCATAACTCTGTTAGGTCTGGAGACCCATCATAACTGGCCCATGAGCAATATGAAGGGCAACAACAGCTTCTTGAACAAATTGGGGCCTTCAACTGTCCAAGCATCGATTCACTTTTCTCTCACAGGGAAGAGTACCATAATGGACTACAAGCAGAATCGCACAGCAATTGCAAGCCTGTAATGGCTAGATTATGTTGGTGTATCCATGAAAGTTATGAAATGAGGTTATAATTTTAATGTTAAGATGTGAGTGTTGTCAGGCAGGCATGTATGGTGCACTCTTGTCTTCTTTAGGGAGAAAAGGGAGATGGGGACAGTCATAATGAATGGAAGCTAAGAGCATCTGTTTTTTCTCAAATAGAATGCTTTATCACTGCTTTTGATTTCATCAGAGAGTAAATTTTATCAATTGAGGGCTTGAGACTATGGAAAACTTTTCATAAGTTATTTTGGGCCTACGCTAAACTCAAACTGACAAGCCTCAGAAAAGTGATGAACACAGACTAAGTGAGCTGCATTCCCTGGGTGTGTGGTCCAAAAGAGTAAGGAGGCTAGCCTACTTTGAGGAATGATGAGTCAGTATTTTGGCCATCTTGCTCTTTGGCCTTTGACACCAAAGGAGAGAGAAAAGAATTGGAATCCACAAACAGTGCTACTGGTGGGTCTCACTTTAATGAGGAAGAATGGCAGGCAGGCAGGAAGGGCATGGAAAATATTGCACACTGCACATGCTTTATGAGCATGTGCACTGTCCTATATTTTGGAACCATGATGTGGCACAACAACATATGCCAGTGGTTGCTGGGGCCTGAGTGGGAATGTGTGACATAGCTGCTCTGGATTGCCAACATAGAACATAACCATTATATATTTACATTACTATTCCTCACTCACATCTCAACTCTCAGCTGAAACTTATATCACTATTATCAATTTATAAAGTACTTTATAAATTGATCTCTTGTGATCTCTTGTGCCATTCTGCCAGTGGTCCACCATGGTGCTCTTCCCATTATTCTCATCTATTATGAGAAGTTTGAATGTTTGACAGAGTGAAGGTGGATGGTTGAGATTTAGGAGACCCATGAGGAGAGTTATGATTGGATCTCAAATTAGTTCTGGTGAGTAGGGGAATAGCATGCTGACCTACTTTCTTGCCTCATGAAACTGGTCTTCAGTCTACATATTGTTGGATCCTTTCCTATTCTTATGTAGACATAAACAGGAATGAGGTGATGATAAATTATTTGATTCCCTATGAACAGTGCTGATGGAAGTTAATCATAATAATTTGCTGACTTGCTTCTGGGCCTAAAATACCCCCTTTTCCACTACAAACTCAGCATCACAGATACAATTTTATGGTTTTTTTTTTTGGACTTTAGTCCATTATGAAATGATATACTGTGATCAATTTAAGATGAGCAGTTTTTGAGGGATAGTAATGGTACTCTTATTGTGTTAACCAGTGCCAGGTTGTCAGGTTGACTTGGAATTTTTTTTCTTTCATTTAGCAAACTAAAAATTTAGTGCAATGTGGATATTCTTTCTGGTGGGTTTCTTTTAAACCATTTCAATACTCAGAGAATTTGTTGCTACTAGTTATTAGCTCACATTCCTTAATTGAGAGAATGTGAAGATTCAAAGAAACCTGTAATGGCAATGGAGCTTGGTCTTGGATCTGGGTAATCAAGAGAGTCTGCATACTTCAATATGCTGTCAGTTGATAAGGTTTAGGAACAAAAGCTTTTTAAAAGTAATATTTATAAATTATGCCATAATATCCTTGGCATTACAACTACACCAGTAACAAAATGATGGTGATAAAGGAGAAAGTCGAGTTCAAAACGTTTGAATAAATGGGAAAGGTCTGGAATAGCCTTATTAATTAATAATTAGTACATTGTAGAGATGTGAGTAAATGCCTTTATGGATGAAAGTGGTTAGGTCCACAGGGTAGTTAATCTATGTTTCAGTTATCTTTTGCCATCTGCTTTGTCTGATCAGTCTCCGGCTTCCATCCCATGTAGGGTGTCCCACTGGGCACTGAGTGAGTGTGCATTTATTTTTTTGGTGTTTTGTGTTCAACTCATAGATTCCCCTAAACAGTGTAATTTCATAAATATTCTTTATAGCCAGTCTGATGTGGGACAAAATACCTATATTTGTGAATGTCAGCCTTTCTGTATTTGGCTACTTCTTGACCCTAAGCATCATCCCCAAATTCCGAGATTCATTCCTCAGGGCTGGGATCTTTGGACGTGATCAATGCAAAAAGACTGATAAGAAGATGTAAGTCCTAAGCTATGAAGTTATTGCTTCTTTTGTCTGTATGAAACCTTGGTTGGAAAGCCAGGAGCATCCTGAGATTTAAGCTGAAGCTTATACTTATGCTTAGGCTATTCTTAATGCTTAAAAATGCATCCAGTGAATGATATATCCCACCTGCTTTCTTAAAAAGATAGTAATTCATGTTGTCAGGCACCTGTAACTTTTGTTACTGCCTTAAATTTAAAATTTATTTCATCAATTTACAATAGCCCCAATATTTCACTGATATTGAAAACATCCTAACTCTGGAGTCTGCAAGATTTAATCCTATTGAGATGATATTCTTTCTTTCCTTGGAGTAGACCTGAGGCAGTTGGAGTGCTGTCAGCATGTGTATTTCTGGTCATCACCTTCCTCTTCATCCCAGTACCTTTTGGACATTATTTCTTTGGATCTGCAGCAGAGTTCCCATATCATGAGGTTTGTCCAGTTTTGTCATGGCCTGCAAGAATGAAGTGGAGGAGCAAAAAGTGCAGAAAAAACATAAGGGATAAAAAGATGAAAAGGAAAAATATCTCAGGTTTCATCTCCCTCATGAATGAATTTTTTGGATGAATATCTGTGATGTCTCAAAAAAAATTTATGTTGACCCTCTTAGAATAGGAGGGCCCATGTTGTAACTTCACAACTTTTTTGACTTCATTTCAGCTACATTTAGAACATTAAACTGTCACTTATGTTCAGTTTTGTTATGTTATTTCATCGTGCTATTTCTTTCTGGAGAGAAAGTTGATGCACATTTATTCATTTTTGTTTTTGTATTTTCATTTCAGTTTGTAGAGTACCTTGCAGCCCTGCTCTCCATCTGCTGCATGGTGCTGTTGGGTTTTGCAGATGATGTTCTTAACCTCAAGTGGAGGCACAAGCTCCTCCTTCCATCTCTTGCAACTCTCCCCCTTCTTTGTGTGTATTATGTCAACTTCAACTCCACGACTGTCATTATACCTCATCCTCTGAGGTTCTCATTTGGATATTCGCTAGATTTGGGTGAGTTTCATCTATCTTTGTGTCTGTGCAGAAGTTCCTGGTCTTAATTTTTTTTCTTCTCCCACAGGTATCCTATATTATTTTTACATGGCTGTGATAGTTGTATTCTGTACAAATGCCATCAACATCTTGGCGGGTGTAAATGCCCTGGAGGTGGGACAGTCTCTTGTGATATCTATGAGCATCATCATCTTCAATCTGATCGAATTATCTCGGGATGCCAGACAGCATTTCTTCTCTCTTTATTTTATGATACCCTTCTTCTTCACATCATTGGCTCTCTTCAAACTCAACTGGTAATCAAATCCTATTGTTTTCATATTTATGCAAAGTTGATCGGTTGAGGAATTGTATGGTTTCTGCAGGTGTCCAGCAGAAGTGTTTGTTGGTGACACATTTTGCTATTTTTCGGGAATGACATTTGCTGTTGTGGGGATATTGGGGCACTTTAGCAAAACCATGATGCTCTTCTTCCTCCCTCAACTGGTCAACTTCATTTACTCTCTACCACAACTTTTCCATTTTGTTCCATGCCCACGACACAGACTCCCATGGTGAGGCATTGTTGACTATTTGATGTTTCTCAACCAACTTGAAAATATCCTGATGAATTTGTCTTGTCAAACAAGGTATGACAAAAAGCTGGACAAAGTGCATATGAGCAAAGTCCAGTTCAGGCCTTCATCATTAAATCCTTTGGGTCGCCTGATCATATTGGTGTTTCGTCACCTGGGTATTCTTCATGTCACAGAAGGTTTAGGAGAAGGAAAAGACATGTGGGAGGTGAACAACTTCACACTGATCAACTTTGTGCTGCGATTCCTTGGACCACTGCACGAGTCCACTCTTGTTACCATTCTCCTCGCTATCCAGGTGAATACTTTATATTTTAAAACACATTTGAGCAAATTTGTTGAGAGAATCTATTCATGCAAGGATTCTTTTGGTGTGTTTGAGACAGGTTGCCTGCAGTGTGATTGCATTCATCATCCGTTACCCACTGGCCCAGTTATTCTATGATGTGTGACTACCTGCACAGAAACTTCATGCAGTTTGATGGTCTCTTGTGTTTTTTTATAATACAGTTGCTAAGGGTGTTGATTTCCATGTTTTGTATCCAGAAAACATGTGCAAGAGTACCTGACAAACAGACATAGAGAATAGGTCCAAAACATCATATAGTGATACAATTAAAGGAAAAAAAAGAAGCTTCTAGTCATGGATATGCTGGATAAGTATCTAGAACAAGAAAAATCTTGAACTCCTTCAAGTTTGAGGTTCCTTCAAGGACTACAATTACTCATTAACCCCTGTACAATTGCCTCTTTCTCACCAGTGTTAGTTGCATGAGTCCTGAGTCCCAACAAGTTGATATTGTAGTTTGAATAGTTGTCCTTCTGTTGGTCACTAATTAAAGCTGCTTTCTTGAACCAATGAACCCATTGAACTATTTTTGTTCTATAATCCTCTAACTGTATGTATAGTTCTAGGTGAAAAATCCAAATTACTGGTCATTTTTCATGTTGAGACTAAACCAAAAAAAAGCTTTATTTCATGGGAGATTGTAGTACTATAATTTATTAAGTGCATTGACAGATCAAATCACATCTTTGTCTTGAAAAATGAGATTTCCTGACTCAGGTTGTTTTCAACCTTGCAAATTAAGGACACAACCTTAGGTATCCCTGGATTTATAGTATTGATTTTGCTTTTTTTTAAATGAGATATTAATGAAGCCCCTCAATGGCTTTTTTTTTTTTTAAATGAAGTCTTAGCAATGCTTCATGTTGTGTGGATGTTTCCATAAAAGATAGTACATTTTCTGTCACTGGAATTCTTAATATGCTGGTAGTACCTTTCAACTTGGTAGGAATGGGAAAAAGTATTGCAATCCATATTCATGCATCCAGCTAACATTTGCACGTCAGTGTAAGTGTAGCTAGGGTGAAAAAAGTGGGGGGGGGGGGGGGGGGGGGGCGCTGGAACAAACAATTAATTTTTATTAGGGCCTGTGAAATGGATAATCAGGTTTTAACCCAACAAAAAATTTAAAAGGCCATGGGACAGAGAGTGATGGTAAGTTTGGGGGGGCACAGGAACTCTGGAACACTGTTACCATGCATTTTGTGGGTCCTTTTCCTTCTTTTATTTTCTTTTCTTGAAAAGTTTTCCAATGCTATGTCACTGTATATCAGTGATTTATAAGCAGACTTTGTTAGTTAGAACCAATGAGCAAATCAAATGTCACAGCTCTGAATGACATTAATTTGTATGACCTCTCAATAATGGAGCAGAAACCCAACAAGTACAATAGTGAAGTGTAATGGATTGCCCATTCCTGTTCCCTGGATTCATGTTATCAGTTTTGGAAAATTCCAAATGGTAGCATAAGAGTGTCAGAGATGAGATAGTTTCATAACATCTTTTATAGCCCACTTTGAAGTGTGCATCAGACCAATGAATGGTAATTTGATTGCATTTATTCTTCTTCCATTAGGGATGACACTGAGAGCATAGGTGATTTCAATCCTTTGAGCCCCACACATGTCTTGAAAAAAAAAAAGAAGTCACCTACTATATTGAGTATAATGAAAGATTGTCCAAGAGCTGCATCTCAATGTTTTCAAAACCATAGCTTGAATATTAATTGTGGGGAATGTAAAGGAGCATAAGCATGCCTTTCAGGTGGAAGTTTTTACCATCTATCTGAACAAACTTGGGGAAGTGAGGGAGCTTAGGGGTAGTTTTTCCTGTCTAGGTTTTTGGCTTTTGAAGTGCATGAGAGCATCTGATCTTAAATTTGACAGAAAGTTTCACTTAAATGAAAAAACTTTTTGTGGTTTTTGCCAAGGTTTGTGAATTGAATTTGATGCTTCACTGTGAGTGATCTTATCAATATATTGACATTTTCTCTTCCTATTTTTTTGCCTGCTGAAGTGATCATGTCTCCTTGCTGGGGCAACAAGTCAGAGCTTGGCTTGTTTCCTTTGATTCTTCCTGGTGGCAAAGAACCAAAAAGCAGGTGAAATATTTTCAGGATGAAACCAATGTAAAAAAATGTAAATTTTTCTCTAGACAATCAGGTCAATGACCAGTGATTGTGGAAGGTTTTTTTTTTTCTTATTTGTCTCCCCAAAGACAAACACAAACCAAGATTGAATATCTCAGGCCAGTCACATTCTGGTCATAATGAGGATTTGTTCCTGATTCAATCAGCTTTCTTCCTTTATCCTTTTTGGTTCTTATGTAAAGTAGTTTTTCTTTTTAACTTTGTGGTGAAAATATCTTGAATTTTGAGCAAGGTTACATAGGGATGCGACCGAAGCAGAGCACGTTGTTGGTAAATTTTCGAGGAAATGCATTTCCATTCACACTCCAGTCGAGCAGGATGGACGAAGATCGCGCAGCGATAATTTTATTCGCTGCATCTTTTCCTTCCGAAATGCTGAAGGAACCATTCACTCATGCCCCATCCTTCTGTGGAATTTGACTCAAATTAATTGACCTTCAGGCTGATTCAGCAGGATTTGCAACTCGAAACGAGTATTGAATCGACTGCGTGAGGGGTTTAAGAGCGTGCATTCTTGCACAGCATATTTTGGCCTAGTATCCACGGATAAACCTCAAGATCCCCCCCCCCCCCCCCCGCATGGAATCATGACGATGGTCTAAGGGTTGGTAAAATGGGTGGGGGGGGGGGGGGGGGGGGGGGGGGGGACTCCGAAGGAAATTAAAAACGTTAAGTATTTGCGTAAATTAGCAGGTGTTACAAATCGAAATTTGCACCACCAGCGCTCAACTGTGTGGCTATTCTAGACCAGCGGTTCCCAGACTTCCCTGAATCGCGACCCACTCGCTGACGAACAAAAAATTTCGCGACCCACCAGAGTCAAGAACGAAGAATCTTCAAAGTAATCATGACGTGAAGAAAACCGATTGACCTTTTATGCGGGGCATGTTTTATCACGAGCGGATGCGGATGTAATGATTTTTTTATACCTGGAAAATGTACGCGACCCACAGTTTGGGAACCGCTGCTCTAGACTACTTGCACCATCAAGTAAAATGTCTTCGGGGAGGGGGGCAAGAATCCACTTGCCCTGGGCCTCGCAACTTCTTAATTCGACCCTGGTTGAAGGTGTTATAAATTCATTTACAAGTCATTTAATCTCTTCAGACTTCGTGGCATGTACACTAGCCAAACGTTAACATGTTGAAACCCCTGCTGCAATGATTCTTTGTCATGGATCACATTTTAAACCATAGAAGGATCAAAGAGAGTTTCCGAAAAAAGAAATACATGCGCCTCATTGGACTCAGTCTGCATCGCAGCAGGGGCTTGTGAACTTCGCGCTTCTTGGAATATGGCCGCCCGCGTCGTCTGTGATCATAAAATCTATCGTCTCATTATTGCCCCTAAGATTATAATGCATGTTGAACTGCAGTGCGAAACAGTGAGGGATATTATTTGCAAATAATGGAATATCTGACTTATCATAGAGCTCTTATGGGATGGGTTAAAACATGGATGGCATGTACACATCCCACGAGGCATAACGCCAATAAATTTTCGTTTCAGTGTCCAATTACACGGAACTCCTAGATTAGCGTCGAGAGAGTGATATTGATCTACCTGAGGACGAATATGATTTGTTCGGGCCCTCCCAGCACCAGGCTGACGAAAACGAAGAGAAAGACCAGAAAGATCAAGACATATGGATACTGGTAGAGCTAAGGGGGGGGGGGAGAGCGCCATTAACCCCCAGTCACTCCCAAGATTTCGTCCCCTCCTCCCCGAAATTTTCCGGATCCGCCGTTGGACATGGGTGAAAACGCGATAGGAAAATGCCTCCAGCTTCATTACCACCAAAGGAAGTCATTTCTTGTGGTGCTCTTCACATGCTGAGTACTTGAAAATATGAGAAACACGGTTTGGAGGGTCCAGTATTTGGGGATTACTGACCTCTCCCTCTGGGCTGGGGTCAATGGAGGGTGTGGGGTACAGCGGTACTTCCATATTATCGAGTACCACCCGGCCCAAGTTGCTACTCTTGTCGGCGCAATGACTGTGACCATGCCGCAGGGACGTAGCCGGAGGGGGGGGGGGTGTCCTGGGTATCTGGACACATCCCGAAATGAAGCAAGATTTCGTGAAACAAGGAGTATGAGAATAGGGGGGGGGCCCACTTCGTCATCTCATAAGTCTGAAAGAGCCTCACAAGACACCCCAAAAATAATTCCTGGCTACGTCCCTGCAGCATGCCGAGAAACATTGTCGAATGAGATCCTCGACTGCTGGCTGCCAATAAATTTCTTTTACTTTCACAAAATGCATGTTGCCAACCGCGCATCTCTAAGGAAGAAAACCTGGTGGCATGTGTACATGCCACTACATTCCTCCAATATCAAGGAAGATAAAAAAATATTGACTCCCTTGCTTTGCCCATCGGAGGTGGAGCTTAGATAACGAGCCTAAGGATTTCAAATTTGACACGTAACTTTGCCGTCGGATCTGAAGAGGTTAAGACTGGAACCTCAGGACTTCTGAGTTCAAGATCTTTGCTAACGTCGCACGGGCACATGGGACTGTCTTTCTGACAGATAATTATGATCCTTGATAAGAGACGATGGGACGTAAAATGTCTCGTTCTCAAGAGATGCAGATATCTCTACTGCCACTCGATGAGGATAGATGGTGCTAGTAGATAGCGGAAACCGCCTCGCTCGCCACTTCCATGGCCGCTGCGATGATCGGAGACTCTTAGCTCCAGTTCCGAGTTGTCAACATAGGTCTCGGCTTACTTGGTTCATGCGCTTGCCTGTCAGCGTCAAGTTGTAGCCTATGCGTGAAGCAGAGTAGCCTATGCGTGAAGTTCACGATAGTCTAATGTTAGCCATGCGCACAATGGCAGCTCAGGACAGTATAAAGACTGTTCGTGTTCCTCATAGGCTAAGGAGATGGGTCACCTGTGGAGCTTTCGACAGAATTGGACTAATGGGTTTCTTGGTCAAATGTTAAGCCTTGGCCGATGAATCGGATGTCCCTAGTAGAATTAACAGCTATTACACAAGTTTTTCCCGTGGTCTCTAAGTGAAACAGACCAAGACAAAACTTGTACTTTGAGGTGTATTCTTTGAACTGTCGACAAGCAGTGAAATAAACTGAAAAGGCTTTGCTATAGTTTTTTTCTCTCGTGACTTCGACATTCTTGCATGAGAAACATCCCATACTTGTATAACCGTACTAAATTGTATTATGCTTAATGTTACCAAGGTATCAAGGTAGTTTAGTGGTATCAGGAGGCAATAACACCTATTTGGATACCATGTGTTGAGGTCAAGCGTCTCTTAATTTTAAGATAGGCCTACTCTTAAAGCTAAATATTTTTGTATTTTTTTTGTTGTTTTTCTTTTCATATCTTAGTTGCTTACTGCTTAGTCCCTTAAGTCATCATTGCCCCCTCTTACTTATCAGTGATAGATTTTATTTGAAATATGGTTTCACATGCTGTGATTTCATGTCATTTAGTCTTGTTTTGATTAGAATTGCTGTTTACATCTAATATAAGCTCTTGATCATATTATTTCCTGTTAATGGGAATTCTGCCGATAGAATATGCCAGTTTGTAAGGTCCTGAATTGTCAAAAGACCTCATGGGAGATGAGGAGGCAGTGGCAGATGCATACATTTTTTTTTATTATAGGAAGGGTGGTTCCCTGGTTCCCACCCCCCAAACTTACCATCACTCTCTGTCCCATGGCCTTTTAAATTTTTTGTTGGGTTAAAACCTGATTATCCATTTCACAGGCCCTAATAAAAATTAATTGTTATGGTCTTAAATAAAATTGAATCCAAACCTGTCCACAGGGAATAGTCACCCCCTGACCTCTCCCCTCCCTCCTCTGGATGCACCACTACTGTTTGTAAGGGTGAGGTAATATGCATCTCAGGATATATGAGTACAAGATCCTTCCTTCTTTTTTGTTCATTGATGTTTTAACCAGAAGCTCTGGAAGCAAAATTTGATATGTGAACAGTTCATTATTTATTAATTGGGAGCTGGGTACTGCTGGATTAGGTCTTTCTCCATTCTAAAGTTAAATTCAGGTCAGAATCAGTTTCCCTGTAGTTTATCCTTATACAATACTGTCTCAAACCTTGTTTAAGTAAAAATAGATGAAAGAAAAGAGGTAACTTATGGACCTGTGTAAGGGTAATGGAATAACACATCATTGTGTTCTATGCTGAAACTACCGGGCAATAGGATCTTCATTTATATGGTTGTGGTACAATAAGTACCCCATGTATACTACAAGGGGTAGTGGATACTTGGTAAAGTAGTCCAATTTTTTAAATTTAAATTTTCAATTTGTGGAACAACTGACAATTAGGAATGTAAGCAGAATACAAACAGAAATTGGACTAGGGCTAAACTAGGCCTGAAATGGAATATAAACCACTAAGGTGAGAGTACAAGGAGTGCAAGATTGATCCATATTTGATGAAGGTGAAAATAAGGAAGATGTGATGAACATGAGTGTTTGAAGGCCACAATTCTTCCTTCAAACAACCTCTAAGGCCTAGAGATGTGATGTGGAGACCTGGTGAAGCACATGCTAGACTGTCTATGCATAGCTTTGTTATGATATGAATGTAGTGGATATTAACCTAATATTGTGTAGCATATTGTAATGCAGGTATTTGGTAATAACATTTTCTTTTCTGTGTAGAAGCACTCCAACTATTTCTATTTGCTACATTGGAAAGTAGCTGAGATGTCTAGCAAGTACAATCTGAAGTGGAATTCTCATCATGTGGAGACCTTCCGGAGCTTTGAGACTCTTCGTCATCGGGAGATGTTTGTTGATGTTACGCTTTCTTGCAATGACCAGTTCTTAAAGGCTCACAAGTTGGTGCTCTGTGCTGGCAGTGGGTATTTTGAAAGGATACTCAACCGGGATGCATCTGGATCTCCACTGATCCACTTCTATGGAATTGACATGCATCTCCTAAAACTACTGGTTGAATTTATGTATAATGGAGAGGTGGAAGTCCCATCTCTGGACCTTGAGAAGTTCATAGAAGTTGCAGAACATTTAGAAGTGAAAGGCTTAAAAGGTGATAAGTCTAAAGGTAGTTCTGTGTCACATGGAATGGGTGGAACCACAATACCTGTAGCAGGAGTGGAGGATGCATTGGCTCACAAGCGCAAAAGTTCTGCTCGACCTTGGCAGGACTATGATGAGCCTTTGGCGCCACCTGTCAAACTTGCAAGACCTCTTGTACATCCAGCAAGGCAGCAGTGGGTTGGACATGCTCCCTCTCACCAGCGTGTCAAGCCTATTAATGTAAGCTGTAGCTTAGCAGGTTGTTAGTTAAGATTGATCCTTTAAACTTCTGGGTTGAACATTTGTTTTAAGTCTGATAATCATGCTCTAAATTTATAGGTGCCTTCGCCATCCCAAGTTGGACTGGCTGAACCCCAACCAGGTCCTAGTTCAGTTGAGGATGTGGTAAAGCAGGAGAATGAGGATGAGGAAGAGGAAGTAACGGAGGTTCAGGAGGATATGGCAGAAAACAGTGTGGGAGCTTCAGCATCAATTGTACGTTCAAAGTTTATTGAAACTAAGAATATTTTCTCTTGCTTTTATCAGGTTTTGCATCAATTTATTACTGAAATTGGTGAGACAGAAGAAGCAATTCCTCTGATTTTCAGTTACCAACTTTCATGTGTACAGATATGAGAGTCTTGTGCTCAAAATTTTGAGTCAAAAATAAAAAAGGAGTACAATACAATGATATAAGAGACAGAGGCTTTAGACTGAAATAATCCACTATGGTTGTTCAGTAAAGGTAGTCATTTCCAGTTTTTTTAAATGCTTCTTTCTTCAGGTCTCTGCCATCATTCCCTTTATCTTCCTTCCTATTCTCTTTAGACCCCTGAATTCTTCCCATTCTTTGTTGACATGGAGTGACAGTTGCTTTTTTTGTTCTTTTCAGCACTAGAGAATTTTCTCTTTGTTTTATTTCTTATATATTTAAACAGTTTCTCCATTTTTAGGATGAAGGTCAATGGGATGAGCAGTCACAGAGTTCATACTATGCTGAAGGTGCTGAAGGAGAGCCTGAGATGCCCTTGAACATCCCTGCAGAAGTTGATCCTCAGGTTAGTTCATACTTTCTCAAAATGCATTTGTTTTGTCTTTTTTTTAAGTTCTCAAGCGATGAAAATCTTAGAAATCCTGAAAAATTTTGGGAGAGGTTGAAAATGTTCAAAAGTCATGCTATGAGCTTGCCAGTGCTCGTGTCCAAGTTATTGCTTGGAATGTAAAGAAATTTGATATTTATGTAATGGTCTCAAAATATAAATGGATATGGCAATGTAAAATGATCCTATTTATTTGAAGCAAATGTGTTGTATGTGACCTTGTCAAAGTCAAACAACATCCATTGATTTCAGAATGCAATAGCTGTAAATGTCTTGCATGAAACTGGTGGTAAGTTGTCAAAGTATTTCTTTGTTTGGAGAGAGATCTAGCCAATGTACTATACAGGAAGGCTTCACATGTGATTCTGCAGTCATTATTGCTTAACTTGCAATTTTGAGTCATTGCATTCATCAATATGTACCAAAAGCATGAATTGATAGTAATTAGGGAAGCTCAAGGAAACCCCTCCCTTCATTGCTAAACCTTAAATTTTTTGTGCCCTTCTTGCTCTTTGCTCTTGCAAATTTCATGAGACACCTAGTCTAGTTATGTAATGAACTGTCTCTTGGGGGTTTAAGGTACTTAATACCACTATTTTTTTTTTTTTTAGCAGGCATTGACTGTATGGATGCTAAAAATAAAGTGGAGTTCAAAGTTTAGGATTTTGAGTGAATTATGTGCAAAAATGGAGTGTAGTCTTTGTGCTCTATTATTTTTACAATGTACCTGAAATGAAAGCATATTGAAGTGCACCAACTCACACTAGTATAGCTCACTAGTATAGTATGGTATAATTTTCTGCTTACCCTCACATGAAATTGAATCTGTAGTGGCTATGCTTGTATGCATAAAATCTAGAATACAAAGTTACCTTCTGACATTTGTAGTGATGGAAAGTCTTTGTCCTGGTCTGACAGTCCATCAAAATTGCAAAGTATCCTCATATATCAGAACAATAGCTTCTTTAACCCTTTGAGGAGTGGGTTTTTTTTTTTAACACCTGCACCTGTAGTGAATAAATGGAGGATAGGATAACATCAGCCTGTAAATACAGGATGGCCCAGAAGTAATAGGGCAGTTAGTGATACAATCAGCAGTCACTACAATATTTATTTACAAAACTCACAACCTTTATGATTAGTGATTCTGAAATTAAAATAAAAATCAATTAATAAAAAAATAATAATAATAATAATTGTAGTGACTGCTGATTGTACCACTAACTGCCCTGTTACTTCTGGGGCACCCTGTATATGGGCATACTCCTCAAAGGGTTAAGTTGAGGCAGTACAGTGTTAGCTAGAAAACCATACTGGGAGGGCTCACTGGGGCAGGAAAAGTATCCAATGGAAAAAACATTCATATAGGGAGAAAAATGAGGTTAAAAGAGTAGAGCAATGTCAACAAGGTGAAAACAGAGAACTAAATGACTTAATTTTTTTCCTTTTTGACCTTACTACTCCCTTTTACCTTTGCATTGGTGTACCTCCATCAGGATCTTGAACTGAGCCAGTGAGTCTCTGTACTTTATGTGCATTGAGTTACCATGTAAGCCATAAATTGGGGTGACTCATTTATTTAGCACATTTCAGTGCAAATCAATTACATTAATTGTGTAGCTATGAAGATTGCTTGCATAGCAGATGATAAAAATGCAAAAAATACTTATCCATTTCCAGAGGAGAAATTTATAATGTTGGTACTTTCCTAAATGTTCGAGGTGATGGAACACAAGCAAAATGAAATTGAGCATGAACATGTCTATGTGCTATTTTTTTTACTGTGGATGCCCCATGTGCTGCTTCTCATGTTTGCAGTGCTTGAGTATGTGTGTAGACACTGTTCCAGTTTGTGCAACCCCTGAAACTTCTTGTGTAGTTGTTGAACTTGGATTTCCTGCCTGGGTGGTGATACCATTTCCTTGAAATGGCAAGGAGATAAATGAACTTATCCTCATAGGAGTTGTTGCAAATGGAGTGGGTGGAAATTTATGAGAAATTAGTTTTGCTTGCATTCTAGTATCTGTAGGAGCTCAGTTCTGTATCAACACTGACTACTTCAGTCCAAGAAGCTAAACTTGTGCTCCTCTATTAAATTGTTAGGTCTACTGGAGAGGCTTGACAGCAGAGCAGCTAAATGGGGAAGATTTCACTGCATTGTCATTGCAATTCATAAGGCCTAGGTAACACAGGAAGGTGACAGTAGGCATCAGCCCATTGCACTACCTACATCTCTCAATGTGTGACTTGTGTGACAGGAGGAAGAGGGCAGGTATCACCATACCTCAATGGTACTGCCCTGTAATTTCTGAAAATATATCTTTTGTCCTCAGTCTTTATCCCAGGGAATGTATAAGGTCATTCAATGAAAAGCCTCAATGTCATGACCTAGTTACAAGGAGGAAAGCACCAATTCTAGCCAAGGGATTGGTGATATTTATCCCTTCAGTACCTATGTTGCTGTATGTACCACATGTAATCTTGATTATGGCTCCAGTGATATACACATAGGCAGTGTGTTAACGTTGGGAAACCACAATTGGTCAAGTTTTTGTTTGTTTTGGGAACTGGTGGATCATGGCGTCTGACTGGATTAATCAAGATCCATGTTAATAACATTGCCCTACACTGTTGATTCCTCACATGTAAGTTTTAGCCCTTCGCTGCACCATGTTTCTCATGGGAACATACTGGATTAATTTTTATATCAAGTGGCTGAATACTTACTTTGTGTAGCAAATAGGGAGTTTTTATGAAATAATCATGATGTTCCCAATTGGGAAGAGCAAATAAATTTGAATTAAATGTGCTTTGTACCAACTTGGAACATCTTGAAAATATTGGGTCGGTATTGCACCCAAGTAAAGGCCTTAGTCTTATTTCATCACACTTCCGAATTTCTTTAAATGTTACATCTTATGTTTTAAAAGATTTTGAAGTGCATATTTTTTCTAACATCATCTGACCAAAAAATTCTACCCATTGCTGTTTCTCCCTTTTTTCCAAATTTCTCCAATTTTGGCAGAAACCTAAAATTGCAATAAAGTGGCTGAATTTTAACAGTTTGGAAAATATCTTCCTTTGGTGCTTTTTAGATAATGCTCATGAAGTTAAAATGATTTCCTCTGAGGCTGGTAAGCTCCCAATTGGGAATATGGTGGATGGAGTAAAGGGTTCAATACTCCCATCCTGAGTCATTTGAACATCTGCAAATATGCTATAAAAATTCCCAAATTAAGATTAGTGTTAAAACAACTTAATAAGCAAATGTATATCATACATTTGCACAAGTTCATGAATTCTCACCTCAGTCAATCCCCCATTATTTTGCATGGTCTTGATTTGTAGCTCTAGTCAAATGCAGAATTCCTCAATATTCTGCAGAGTTGAGATGTTAAGGTATTCATTCATGCTACTAGTTATTGTCAGGCAATGCCAGAACGGACGCATTGATTATTATGACTGCTAGTACTAGAAGGATTTTTCATGGATATTTCCTCTGCATATGCAAGAAGCAGTCTGGGGAATAAGCTTGATTTACAGTCACTTGTGAAAGGTGTAGTTTAATCTGGAGGACACAGACCAAACATTGTTACATGTACAATGACAGAATGCTCCACTGACCTCTACCATATACCCACCCATGCAAAGATTGCTTCCCCATTGCATGATACCAGATGACCACTTGGCTCTATTGGTGCATCTGTGTCCCCTTTGGTAATGCTTATGAATTAATTTAGGGCTGTCATGCTGGTTTGTCTTTAAGGAGACCTTCATACATGCTTGTTGTAAGCCAAACCTATATTTTTGAGGTCTTCTTGATTAGAAGACCTTAGCTTTGCTTTGGTTTGACCTAAATGAGATTGAGGCTTACACCTCAGACTTGGAATACCATCATCAGAATACCAGATATGAGGCACTGAATGACAAAATATTTTATTAAAATTTTATACTGGTTCATCTCTACTCTGGAGTGGCAAGCTGTCAAATGCATTGTGAACTGTGCAAGAATGTTGCAAGGTCTCTACAGCTGAAGTGATATGAAGATCACAGAATGGTAAGTGAATCATTTTTTTATTTAGCATAAGCATTATTATGTGGACCAGTAGAGTTTAAAATAAAATTATTAATGAGTATGATGTGTTTCAGATTCATAGTTCATATTGACTGGATCTGTTAAGCTATGATATATTGGATACTATGGATTTTAGCTACCTAGTATGGTAATGATGTCCAAAGGGGATATGAATTTAATCATCATTAGAAGTGGATCTCATGACTTTGCCTCATTAGTTTTTCCTCAGTTGATGTCTATACTACATGCAAAGTGAATCAAGGGGGTGATGAAGGTAATAGTAAAATGGACACATCTAGAATATTAGCAATGCTTGACTTGTCAGTGCTTCATGACCTTTTTATGGTTGGTTTACCTCTTCCCCTCTTTTTTTTTCTGATAGGTTTAGTTTTAGCTGTCTAGGTTTATGAAGTAGAAGACTTATTTAAAGTTAATGTAACCAATTTGATTTTTATCTGCTCCTAAAGATGCATTCTGATCTTATACAATCTTTTGAGTATGCGTAGTGATGGTACAGTAGAATTGGTGGTGATCAGCCTTGCTAAACCACTTTTCAGTTACCCATGGGAAGGGAGAACCCTAAAATAGCCAAGTTGTTATTCATTGCATGAGAGAGAGATACATACATACAGCTTGTTTTAGGATTAGGTTCTTTCTCATTTCAAGGTAGCTTCCCTGGTTTGAATCAATCAGCACATGAAACTTCCAGAAGCTTGGTGTCTTCTTGCTTCCTGTAGTCTTAGTTATGTTTGGCTTAGTTTGCAGCCTTCATTGTTGTCCCTCAATATTACTTATATCTATAGCCATGTATTTGGTTTTTCTACTGTGTACTGAGGTGGACAGGTGCAGACATTCGTCAGTTTCATATTTGGATGCATACAGACAAGAGGAACAATTTTCCCAATTTTGATCTGCCCTCAAGAATTGTCACATCCTCCTCTCAGGAGCCATTCTAACTCATTTTCGTGGATGCAGGGAATAACTTCAGTCATGACAGGTTCTGTAGTCATTTTGTTGAGATGCAGCAAATCCCTACCTCTTGCAACCAGGGAATGATCTTTGATTAAGTTAAAGGGGGAAGCAGTTGAGTGAACACTTGCCCCAGGAAAAATCTGTTTGCCACAGGTTGGATTCTACCCCTTGACACTCTCTGTGCCATTGGTGGGTGTGACCCGCATCACCCTTTATCCTGTTGTGTCAATGATGGGTCTCACCCATCTGCCCACTTCATGCTTAATTTGGTAATGCTGATAGTGTTGGCAATTTTCCAGTCACATGTTCAGTTCTGGTGCAATTTTATTCATTGTGCTCCAGCAACAGCCACCCCCACCAGGAAAACATATCAGGCACAAAAAGGGTTAAACTTCATCTTTGCTTGTTTAAGACTCTACCTGAGTCATGGTACATCTGTATTTTCTTACTTTTTATAGTTGACAAATCTTCACATCCCTCTTAGCCTTCAGATGATAATTTTTCCTGAAAATCAGCCTAGAATCCACTTCATTCCAGATTAGTTTTATCTCATATGACCCTTCTGCTCTTTTGTGTGCCATGGCAGTGGTGAGGATGTAGCATAAATAGTTATGTACAAATTCTAATTTTCTGTTGGATGGGAAATTCTGTAGAATGATTATTCTTAGTTGCATGTCTCATTTATCATGGAAAGCCCTTTGTGTAATTAGTTCTGACTGGGATGAGAGATAATTAATAAATCATTGGATGTATATGAAAACACTTGAAATTCTGAAATTCAATGGTATGGGAATGTCATCTTACATTATGTTAACCCACCTGTTTACCAATTATCTTTGCTAGAACTACCAGTAAAATACCATTTAATTTTATGGAAGTTTGTTCACTACACTTAATTACTAATAAGTACCCACAAGTGTCAATTTAAGTGCAGTCATGTTGGATATCAATCAGTACCAATAGACAAGTTGGCACAAGATCATTGAAACAACGATTAGGTGAGCCAAGCCCTTGTAATTTCAGGCCCTTGATTCAATGGCTAACAAGGAGAAAGCTCCTTGGGATTCACATCAAGGGTCTTGAAGAATGTTCACAATTACATTTATAATCGTTACATATGGATATTCTGAATAAGTAATTGTGCTTATTCTTGGTTGTGTTTGCTGTGATTTCTTGCATTCTTCATATCCCATGGTCTTCGTGTTCAAATAAATTCTCCTTCAAGTTGATACTCCAGCATCCTGAATGTACCGGGCATTTGAAAAGTCACATTCTGTTTAGGTGAATACACCAAGTGTACCGATGGCCCAAGTGTTGTGACAATTGACCTACAGACCAATTTGAGCATGGGGGAGGCAATGCTCTAATTTTTGTGATGTCAGTGGAAAATGTTCATAGATGTTCCATGCAGCTCCCATAGGCTGTATAACACTAAGGCTGAAATTCGCTGGGTCAGGTAATCTTGTAGGCCAGGATCATAGTTCAAAGGTTCAAAGTGGTTCAAGATGTCGGCTGATCATATTGTTTCACAAGTGGCCCACAGAACACATTTCACTTGGTTTGCAATGTGGGGTGGAACACCATCTTGCATGAAGACTGCTCAACCTTTTATCAGCTTCTTCAAAACTGCTTCAGGTTTTACAATAATGGTTTTTATACCCATAACCATGTAGTGTCACTATGATGTGCATTGCTTTCTCTATGATCAAATTGGTCTGTAAGTTAATTTTCACAACACTGTAGCCATTGTTTTGTTTGGTAAGATTCTGGGGACACAGTGTTTGACTTTTGAAATGCCCAGGGAGTATAGCCAATGGAAACTGCATTGAACATCTATGAACACTCTCCTTTGACATCACAAACATGAGTTCATGCTTTC